TATTGGTCTTTCCTCTCGATAGGTTAGTACTCTGATCACAGATCGCTCCGATTATCGGATGGAGAAATGGCTGTGTACATGTCAGAGTTGCTTGAGTAATTCTGACTAGGCGGATGACTATCGTTTTTCCCTTTCCCTAATGCCTTTTCGCATGCTTCACGTCTTAGCTTTTCGTTTCTCCTAACACATAACACCTCCTTAGCTTTTTATTTTTAGTTCTTTCTCTATTTTCTCCCAGTGTTGGTCCACAGTGTGAGGCTCTCCGTACCCAAGGGTTCGTAAATATGTATATATTCATATATAGGTAAGTGAAAGTAATAATAAATATATAAATTAACTATCAAATACTGTTGATGTACCTGAGTAAAGTGTGAAAACTGTGGATTAATTTCGGCTGGCTTCCAATCTCCAATTTCTTTGTACCACGTTTCACATAATTCTTTTATTTCGCCCTGGAAGAAGCGACTCGAATTGGCATGCCAAGCAATGTTTTCTCCAGTTCCATTAGCTTCATTTTCAATATACCAGAGGTAAAATAAATGAAAATAGAAAAACTTAATACAAACTAAAATTAGTAAATTTATTGGGTCATTTTCAAAATAAATCTACAAATAATAAAAGTTTGTGTGGGTAATTCCATGCAAAATAATCCCGGGGCCGATAACCAATCCCCTAAGATTTTAATGAAAAATCTGGTGAGCACAACACACAACTTTTACTTACTTTTCTACTTTGAATAGAAATTATTTTCTGTCAATGTTGAGCAATTATAAAATTTTTGAAGTGCACTTTTAACCTAGCTATAGCTTAAAGTTTACAGCTAACAAATCATTAACAGTATTAAAATAACAAGAATTATAATAACCCATTAATTATATCAACGGTAGACAATAAAAACTATATTGAGTTGTGTATTTCTCACATTTCCCGTCGGACAATTTCTACCCTTAAACTATTTCATCGCTTCCGCCATCTCCTACCTCAACATATCCGTAGACTCCTAATTTCCTCTCTCATCTTCCCCCACTTTGACTACAGCTGTGTGGTGTATGATGGCCTCTCGGTGGAGCTCCGTGATAGACTGAAAAGATTAATGAATAGCTGCGTAAGATTTGTTATTGGTGCCCCGAGGTACTCCCATGTCTCCCACCACTACACTGAGTTAAGGTGGCTCTTCCCCTCCTTCCGAAGACAATACCTTCTAGGTACGTTCCTCTACCAAATCATCAACAACCATCGTCCTTCTTACGCCTACAACCTTCTCCAGTTCAAATCCTCAGTCCATTCCCTGTCCACAAGATCTCGACCTTCTGACCTTTACATGCCTTCTCACAGATCTGCCTCATTCCAAAATTCCTTTATTGTTCGCTCTGTCAATTTCTGGAATTCCCTCCCTATCAAAATTCGACATTCCCCCTCCATATCCACATTCAAATCCCTCCTATTCCAATTCCTATCACAAAAACAATCAGATACTTGCTAACCGTTCGAGCGGATTTCAATAGAGAATTTGATACATTTTTATTTTTTAATTCTTTATTTTTTTCGGAAAAGTGTATACTGGTCTATAAGAGCAAATAGCTTTATGTTTCTTGTCATAGTATTAATGGTTTTGTATATAGTTTAGTTTGTTTTGTATATAGAATTTTTACCTTATATTTTTTTTACATTATTTCTTTTTTTCGATTTATATTATTTTGGCCAGATGTAATATTTTAATTTTGTTCTATTTTGTTATTCTCAAGGGACTGTGTCCCAGAATAAAGTTATTTTTCTATTTCTATTTCTAAAAACCTCAGTTTTCCATTTGTTTTTGTAAAATACATAACTCCAGCCTCTGAGCAATATATATATTTTCGGTTGGCTCTACAGACCTTGTAGATCTTCGGCCGCCTGAACCAGCCTTCTCCACCTCTGCCTATCTTGGGCTACTGCTTTCCAGTTTGCTGCATGAAGCTCAGCCGTTTCTTTGTTTATCCTGTCTATCCATCTAGTTTTTGGCCTCCAACGTGGTCTCTTGCCTACTATTCTGGCATTCATTGTCGTGTAAAGGCGTCCTGATGGATTGCTACGAGCTACATGCTCTGCCCATCTTAACCTCCTTGCCTTCATGTCATGAGATACTGACTGACCCGTTTAATATACACTGACAGGAAAAAAATTCCACCCACTTGATTTTTTCATGTTTTCATCTAAAAATATTTCTGCTTTGGATTGGTCTATTGTTTTTAATGAATAAATAGGTGATCTTTTTGTTTCTTATTTTATTTTCTACATTTTTTTTCTTTGTTATCTTTATTTTAGTTATCATTTGTATGTGCATATTTTGTTTATGATCAATGTAGCCCTGATATTAATGTCCTCCAATGTGGCAGAATGTATTAATTTCGAATTGATACAAAAATAAAAAAAGATTCGTTAACTGACATTTCAAGTTTAAACAGTTCAACCGGAAAACAGTAAGGACAAATTCTAGTTCCATTTATCTCTGTGATATATCTATCATTTAACAGTCTGTTAGATATATGATCATTATAAAATACCACTATCCCCACGCAGTCTTTTATTGACGTCTCTAGAAATAACCAATTTTTCAATCATACCTCAGCAAATTAACCATACTAGCCAATCGTTGAATTTCAAGCAGTCCGTTAGCAATACCTAAGTTATTAGGGAAATATTTCTATGCCTTAAGTTATACTTACGTCTTTCAGGGTTATGTTTGTCAGATATGCATTTATTTGCATATTTCTGGGCCACTTTGGCTAATTCTGGATCCCATTTCTGAAAACAAAAATTCGTTTTCGGTTAATATATAAGTTTGTACTTTTACAAGTACTGGTTATAGCTGAGACTATTACTATCGGGTTCTACAAAAAATAATGCCGGATTTTGGTTTAAAAAGAAAGATTTACAATTGTTATATTTAATCATATTAGCATTATATTAGCCAACATCCAACTCGCTGTTGGTAAAACCTTAATCATCTAGGTTTATGCTCCTACGGAAGACTCGACGGTTGCTGACAAGGATCAGTTTTATGAAGACCTGCAGAGGTTTTTTTTCTTTTTTTTTTGGGATCCTCCCCTACCTCGCCATTAAGGCTATGCGGGGTTTTCCCGGGCCAGGGGGTGTAGGCGGTAATTTAAAAGACTCCCTCGACATCGAGACGCGAACTCGTAACTATTTTTATTTCATTTGATTCATATATCAAGTTGCCGGACTTCGGCGGTGCTGTGCACACGCGTTAGCCCATTCGGCTACCCCGCCCACGACCTGCAGAGGTCTGTTAACAAAGGCCGCTTGAATACAGAATGGTTGTTATTTGTGGAGATTTAAATGCCAGGACAACGTTAACTCCCATGGAGTAATAGGTCTATGGGGTGGTGAAGATGTTGATAGAATTCCGGATACCCAATGATACGCTTATTGGGTATTCTCACTTCAGAAATAAGTTAATCCAGAAAAATACTTTTATAGCGGAAGGAAGCAAGGCCAAAAGCATAATAGATTACATTATTTATGACAGATGAATGCGTAGATATTTCACAGATGTAAAAGCAATTACAGCGACAGAGTTAGGCACCAATCATCGCCTGGTTGTTACTGATACCAAATTACTAAGCTACGGATGAGTCACTTCAGAGCATATGAACGAATTGCATCCGAAACGTTCAGAGATCCAGAAGTGATTAAAAGATATAGAGAGGTGCTTTTGACAAATCTAAAAGAAGTCAATTATGACTTGACTCATGCATCCCATCATGAAGGATGCATTTGATTCCATTTCTTACCAAGAGATTTTGAATGTTCTACAGGAAAAACGGGTGCCATCCAATCTCATCAGCAATATCAAATTGGTATACCAGGATCCCAAAGGAATAGTGCGACTTAACGGACTTGAATCGGACCCATTTAGGTCTAACAAAGGAATCAAGCAAGCTGATAGCCTAAGTCCACTATTATCATATGCATGGATGAAGTATGGATGGTTTGTAAGCGAAGGGAATGGAAATAAACTCTACAAGAAGTAAGGTGATTTTCTAGCCATAGAGACTTGCGCATATTTAAAGTATATGTCCTTTACCTTGGGGTACTTAAACATTAACATTAACTTCAAAACATAAAGGAATTAGAAAAATGAACTCACAAGAACCCACGTGTCTCTTGCTTCTATTAATTTAGCTCTCCCCCCTGCCACAAGTTCTCTACATTCGTTATGGTAATCAAGTATGCCATTTATATCATCACAACTCAACTTGGATTTCTTCTCTGAAATGGATTAATGTAATAATTGATAAATGTAAACACTAAAATAATAAAACTTGACGTGTATTTGCAACGGTCTGTAAAACAAACGAAAAAATATTATAAATTTATTAGAGCTAAAAAAACGAATTAGCGAAAAGTTTTTACTGCATAATTTAAAATTCTTTCAAACCAGAAAATAAATGTTAATTTCAATAGCTAATTTTGAATTATTTTCTAATAGCTATTGGCTGTTTATGAAGTCGGATTATTATTCCAAAACTACTGACTATTGTAGTATGATAAACATTTTCATCATTGTAGAACATCATGTGATTATGCACATTAACTTATTAATGATAATGATATAGTTATGGAGTAACGATTAGGTTAGCAAATAACTCCTATCTAATTAAAGGGTGAAATAAAGTTCAATGCATTATAGAAATAAAATTTATTTTAATATACAATATAATGACCATATCCAATATGACTTTTTCCCATATTTCTACTAACTACATAATGCCATAATGCCATGTTCATAGAATATCTGGAGTTTATTGTTAAAATGTTGATCCAAGTGGTTTTGATGTCCTCTTCCTTTTGGAATTTCTTTCCATTCATGGAATTCTGCAGAGACAAGAATAACTGGTAGTCACTTGGAGCTAGGTCTGGTGAAAAGGAAGGGTGGGGTAAAAATACCTATCCAAGTCTCCATAATTTATTGCAAGTGACCAATGAGGTGTGGGACCTAGCGTTGTCTTGGTGGAACACAACACCCTTCCGATCATTCATAACTCTTCAGGATGTTCTCCAAATCGGTTTTGTACCAAATATTAGCTCCTGTCATGCTCAAATACCATGAATGGCGTACCCTTGGATTCAGAATTTCACGGGGGGTTAGCGAATCGTATTCTCCACTTTTGTTTTTCTTTCTAAAATAAATAAATTCGTTACAAACATTTTGCTCAATACCTGAACAGTGGTAGGTCTGTAGATCGATACGGGACAAATTGGATCTAGAAGAATTTGAGGCGTACAGCAAGACCCGGATAGTTCCTCCGGAACTATCGGATCCTGCGTTTTTAAGCCCAAAAACGTACTATTTTCGAGATAACGCAAGACATAGGATTCGCATCCACACAACCTTACATTAATTGTAGTACTGTCATTGAATATACGTCTCATTTCGTCGACTATGATGAGGAGTTTATATTATTTATCGATGGTGTTTTTGATCGGCAAGCCATATCATCGTCAATTTTTCACCAATTCTCAAGATTGAGCCACCAATTTCGAAGGCTTCCTTATCCTTCAGGCGGACAAAATAGTCCAATTATCCCGAAAATTCAGGCAAAAAAGTTATAAAAGGAAACAAACTTTATTTGTGAATAACAAAAATTACACACTTTTCCCTTGGTTATGCCCGTGATTATATAAAAGATTACTTAATTCCCAAGGAAAAAAAGGAAAGGAAAAATTTTTTTTCGAAATCGGACAATTTTCAGCAAAGATACAGCTTACTGAAATTTGTAAATATGTTGGTTCCAAACAAAAATGAAGATTTAAATTAGTTTTTGTTTTCTTTATCAATTATATTTATCGATAAAGTAACGTTTGATTTCTTTATCTTTTGATAGGTTGTATTATTTTATTTTATTTTTAATCTGGTATTTCACACGGGTATTTCTGGAATTTTTCACACGGGCCTACTAGTCTGAATTATTGCTCTTCAAAGCCCTATGAATGCTTTTTTGATTTAATACCTACGTATTAATCAAAAAAGCATTTTTTTATTTTTTTTATTTAATACCTATGTTAGTGCTCTTGCTCAAACTACACTGGCTTCATCACACTTGGTAGATAATGTAGCGCAGGGATCCGTTAGAGCTGCTTTTCCTTCTATAGTTAAAGGGGGAAGCCTGGCTTTAGGTTCCCTGCCTGATTGCCTGATTGTATATAGGTATGACTGTGTTTTTATATTTTTAATTTACTTATCTTTAGGTTATTTTATTTTCTATTGTACCTAGTTTTTTTTATTATTATTTAGTTATTATTTTACTTTTGTTAATTTTATATTTTCTATATATATGGTGTGAATGTGTTCATTTATCAGTATAATCATTGTCCACGAGACAGAATATTACGTCTAAATAAAAAAAAAAATACCTATGTAAGAAATAAATAGACAAAAACTCCTTATAGGTTTTTATTTTTTATCTCCATTTATAGTTTGATTATGAAGGTCCTCTTGATGCCATTTTGTGTAGTTTATGTGGCCCTAAATTTCTGCTAAATTTGTTGTAGATAGCTATTTCGTATTGTAGTTGTAACATTTTTTGTGATTTTCGAAAAAAATCGAGGGATCCAACATTAAGCCTGGAAACATAGCTGAGCTTGTGCAAATGGTTTTCTACGCTTGTGCGTGACACATTTAGGACCATAGCAATCTCTCACAGTGATCAACAATGGCGTTAACATTGCTCGTTTCAATTTCATGTGGGCGACCACACCGTTGAGGATCATTGATGTCAAAATTTCCTGAATGAAATTTAGCAAACCAATATAGTTCGGATAAGGTTAAGGTTCGGTTAATCATCCCCATAAATACCGCACATTTTTCTATGAGCCTCTGTAGCCTTTAATCTATAATCCCATAATAATCTCATTATGTCCTATTTGTGCTGAAATAAAACCTAGATTTTGCAAGTTTGAAGGCACTCTTAACAAAACAACACAACCTTTCGAAAGAATCGTAATGGATTTTAAAGGCCTTTTGCCTTCGTCTTCGAAAAATCGGTATCTAGTGATACTCATAGACGAGTATTCGAGATTTCCTTTCGTGTATCTTGAGATCAATGAGACGTGTTTCTCAAGAGGAAAATATAAAGATGGCCTGCCATCTTTACGGAGGGTATTCCCCCCAGTGTTGGGTCTCTGAAGGAAAACCTGTATTCTGGAATACAGAAAATCCCAGATTATGAATAAAACACCTCACTGTCAACCATTCACAAAATGAAGTTATATAAGAATTTTAAATTTAACTATTTATTTTCATGTGTTATATAACTTCATATTCCTTTTTTCTGTTTTACATTTTATTCTAAGATTACTATTTTAATACTTATGTCACTTTTTTGATTATGTTTACTTCATTATTCCACACTTTGTAACGGTTATTATTATTTATCTCTCAGTTCTTACTATTGTCATTATTCTACCCACTTCATTTTACTTTTTTTTTAATTACATTATTTATGTTTCTCAAACCTTGTTATCTTGTTCTTTTCTTAGCCCTGATGAAGGTCTGAACTTCAGATCGAAATGTCGGCAAATGTTAAAATAAATATTATTATTTATTTTTGCCTTCTTGTTTCTGACTGATCATCCCAACCACCCTTCTCTTCATTATTCACGAAAGTTAACCATTAACCCACAATTATAAAGTTATAACATAATTGACTGGTGCGCTGAAAGTAGAAAACAACCCAACAATTTTATTATATAAAAAAATAGCTAAACATTGCCAGAAAATAATTTCTATTAAAAGTAGAGTGAAATGAAGTGAAAAGTAGAGAATTGTGTGAACGGCACACATTTTTTTTTTCAATAAATTTACCTTCTGAATATAATATACTTATTATAAAATACTTAAATGATAATATAAATATGATTGCAATTGGGTAGGAATTTTATTGGTAGAGATTTTATTAGAACCTTCAAACTTTTGAAAATGTTTATTAAAATTTTACCATTAAAACTCTTTGGAATCGCTAATGATATACTTCTAAGTCTAAAGCAAATGTTTGTATACATTTTACAATCATTATTGCAATTTCGAATTTCGGTCAATGTCGAAAGTTTTGCCTGACTCGTCCGTTTCACTGTGCGACATTTCGCGGTGGCGAAAAGGGAATATTGTTATTAAACATTCCGCTTAACAACAGCAATTTCATCATCGCTCTGAGCACTGAAATAATCTATTATTTTAATTCAAAGTAAATAATTTAAACCTTATTTACATTACTTTTAATGAATGAAATAAAAAAACAATAAAAAGATATTTTCTTGATATGTCATTAATACATATGAATCAAATTAATCAATGAATTTCTTGATAGCTAACATCTACTACTTACTATTAATCTTACAATATGGTTCAGATGGTCTGAGGACATGCATTAGTAACAAAAGCTGAAATATTAAGGAAATCATTGATAAAAGCCTTGATAATTTTGCTTATGAATTAATATTAAAGTAATGTTGTCATCAAATTTCTTATTTAATATGCTCATATGCTAACATATGCTAATTTTTTTCAATATTGTTTGATTTTAAGAAATCTAACACTAACTTTATTGTATCTTCGCCATCCCTTAAAGTGTTTGGAGTTGTAAGCCCTGAACTATGTATAGACCCGATACGTAAAAAGGGCACACCTGTAACATGTGACTGACTGGAAGTGTATTATTGCAGTGTTGGCATTGTGGTGGTGGCTGTTTGCTGATGAGATGTGAATGGGTAAGATTGGTGTGGCCTATTCTTAGTCTGGTTAAGACAACCTCTTCTCTGCTGATATGGCGATTCGATGTTGACCATGGCTTTACTGTTTTTTTAACTTGCTTGGCGTACTCTCATTCCACATAGATTGCCAGCTATGAGTTATTTCTTTTCTGAGGGGAAGACTTGGGATGTTGTGGTGTTAAAATGGCAGCGCCACGGCCTTGAAGGATTTTGGATTTAAGGCTATCATGGACAAAGAGGCCTACAATATCATCCATACGATTCACTCATAATGAAGGAGTATATTGGGTAGAGAAATCTGGAAAGACGGAATTGTGAGTTTTAGCCACGTTTCAGAAACTGAAATTAGATAGTAAAATTATAGAGAAAAAAAATCATAAAATTCATTAAAATCAGGTAGAAGCGTTGATTTGCTTTTTTTTTTTTTATATTAGCCCCAGCTTTTCGAATAGGAAAAAGTAACTGTTATAGAAATTAACAGCTACATTTGAATCAATGTTAGAGGTGATAGGTTATACTAATTATATAGTTTATACTATCTATTATACAAATATCTGTTAAAAGATTCATTTAGTTAGCAACATGGACTCCTTTAGGTTATACTCCAGTTTAAATAACTAATTTCTATGTGAATTTGGTTGCCGGAAAAGACACCTCTGAAAAGATTTGTTGATTTTTTTGTCCATGTAAATAATCTTTATTTAAAAAAAAATGATAATTAGGTTAATTATAATAAAAAATGTCGATATCATATGTTTTCTTAATCATATAAAATATGATCTGTTAACAGATGACTATATAATAAACAATAACAACATTGATTCAAATGTAACTGGTACTTTGATATAACAGTTACTTTTTCCTATTCAAAAAGGCTAACTGGTGGGGCTAATGTGCAAAATATCCTGACGTGCTAGAACGATATTAGTCACGAGAGAAAAAGTATTTATATTTCTGCAATGGGTTGAGCGAATATGAACTCAGGCAACATAATTAATATTAATATCTCTAGAAAGTAATAATCATAAGTAATATCTCTACATACCGCAGCCTATCCTGTATCCTCCGATGATTTAAACTCTTATTTTATATCTGTCGCTAATACCTCTTCTCTACCTTCCTCTTCTGGCTTTGCTCCAGAGATATCCTATAACGACAATAACTTTTATTTTTCCGACATTTCTCCCACAGACTTGTTAACCGCGTTAATGAAATCCCACACCAATTCCATAGGGCCAGACGGCATTCCTGTCAAATTAATAAAAATATGTCTACCTGAAATCCTCCCAGCTCTCCTTTTTATCTACAATTTCTCCCTTCAGAATTCAGTATTCCCTACCTCTTGGAAAAAAGCCATTGTCCTTCCTTTAAATAAAAAGCCTAATCCATCCTCACCCGAAGATTTCCGTCCAATTTCAATTCTTTCTAACCTCTCAAAGCCTCTTGAAAGACTGGTGCAATCCCAAGTCTCCAAGTTCCTCGAAAATTCCAACCAATTTGATCCTCTCCAATCTGGTTTCCGTCCCGGCTATTCCACACAATCTGCCTTAATTAAAATTACCAACGACATTCAATCTGCAATAGATGATAGAAAATTAACTATCCTTATTCTTCTTGACTTCTCCAAAGCTTTCGATTCCATCAACCATTCCATCCTCTTCAACAAACTAAAATCATTATCTTTCTCCAATAGTTCCATCTCTTGGTTCCAATCTTTCCTCTCCCAACGCACCCAAGCAGTCTCCATACCCAACCAACCACTATCTGGTTTCCTTTCTTAATCCTCTGGAGTTGCCCAGGGTTCAAGCATATCTCCTCTCCTTTTCAGCTCCTACATTAACGACCTACCTAAATCAATTTTCCATTGTTCCCATCACCTTTATGCAGATGATTCCCAGATCTACCTATCCTTTTCTCCCTCTGAGTTACTGGGGGCATTTGCCAAGATTCAAGAAGATCTTGATCGAATCAATGCCTGGGCAAATGTAAATGGATTAAAGTTAAATGCTGCCAAAACTCAGGCCATCGTCATTGGTTCCAAGCCCCTCATTAGATCCCATACTGACTTTCCCATATTACACCTTAATGACCAGCCAATTTCCTTCTACTCCTCTGTTAAAAATTTAGGATTTTTCATAGATCAAACCCTCTCCTGGACCAACCATATTTCTCACATTTCCCGTCGGACAATCTCTACCCTTAAACTATTTCATCGCTTCCGCCATCTCCTACCTCAACATATCCGTAGACTCCTAATTTCCTCTCTCATCTTCCCCACTTTGACTACAGCTGTGTGGTGTATGATGGCCTCTCGGTGGAGCTCCGTGATAGACTGAAAAGATTAATGAATAGCTGCGTAAGATTTGTTATTGGTGCCCCGAGGTACTCCCATGTCTCTCACCACTACACTGAGTTAAGGTGGCTCTACCCCTCCTTCCGAAGACAATACTTTCTAGGTACGTTCCTCTACCAAATCATCAACAACCATCGTCCTTCTTACGCCTACAACCTTCTCCAGTTCAAAACCTCAGTCCATTCCCTGTCCACAAGATCTCGACCTTCTGACCTTTACATGCCTTCTCACAGATCTGCCTCATTCCAAAATTCCTTTATTGTTCGCTCTGTCAATTTCTGGAATTCCCTCCCTATCAAAATTCGACATTCCCCCTCCATATCCACATTCAAATCCCTCCTATTCCAATTCCTATCACAAAAACAGTCAGATACTTGCTAACCATTCGAGTGGATTTTAATAGAGAATTTGATATTTTTATTTTTTAATTCTTTATTTTTTTCGGAAAAGTGTATACTGGTCTAAATAGCCTTAAGTTTCTTGTAATAGTATTAATGGTTTTGTATATAGTTTAGTTTGTTTTGTATATAGAGTTTTTACCTTATATTTTTTTTACATTATTTCTTTTTTCGATTTATTTTGTTTTGGCCAGATGTAATATTTTAATTTTGTTCTAATTTGTTATTCTCAAGGGACTGTGTCCCAGAAT